CTGAGAAGTGGAACAGCCATTATGCTTGTTAGCTGCAACATTCTCAAGACGTCAAATTGCATCTTCAATCGATGAACTACAACCCGAGGTGGGTCTTCATTCATTTTCTTCAAATGTTGACATTTCGTCCGTTAGGTCTGAGACGTTTGTGCCAAAAGACTATATATACACGCCATGTTTCTTTAACTTTGGTGGATGCTATCATCTGCCACTACTCGATCGGCTGAGGCAGTACCGGTTCTCTACAAATTCACATTGATTTGCCAAAACTATTGGCCATATGGGTCGCAGGAAAGGAAATTTGCCATATTTAATTTTCGGCCTCTCTCAGTTGACGACGGTACGATTTTGCTGATGAAACAGCCAATAGCAGTTGATTTCTGTATCATAGGAGTGAGGAAATGACAAGGTAGAAGGACAAACCTCACGAAACACTGACAAACGTCGGTCATTAATTTACCAACAGTGTCTTACCAACTTGATTTGCTGCTCCATTCAGGCTGAAAGGACAGTTAATCGTCCACTTTGATGGACGGTAGGCCAGTTAATATACCATCGTGCTGCCACACGATCGGATGCTGGCATTTGCAACAAGATATCGACCAAATAGATCAAGTTTCGTGTGCTTGTTGTTTGCGCCACTCACCAATATTCCAGGTATATGGCGGCGGTCTGTAATAATCGTTTCTAGACCGGACAATCAACTGATCAACCGCCTGAGCATCTATCTAAGCGGTGTGTCAACGAGTAAGCGAACCTGACGAACCAATCCCGTCTGTCGCCCCATACCACCCTGATCTTCACGCGCAGGGGTAAAACAAAAGGAAAAAAGCCATACCAGCAATTTATAAGATTGTGCCTATTACTGTGCAACGTGGAGGAAATAATACTTGCTGTTGTGAAGATTATATGCTGAGGGAAACAAATAAGGGATCACATGAAAGCACAAGTGATCCTTTTTTTTAAGGTTCCTTCCCAAGCTTTGTATAGCACAGCTTGTGAAGAAACCTGGGAAAACATAAAGGAACACTTGTGCTTTCATGTGATCCCTTTTTTTTTTTAACCTCAGTATATATCCTCATTAGAGTTTATGGAAGCGATTACAGACGAAATCTTAGATACATGTTACACGTGAACACAGATCCTCCACAAAGCACGGTATACCCTCACTCACTCTTGCTGTGGGTGAAAACTTAAGACAGACGTTGTTTCTCAAGGTGGAGGTCAAGGCAATGAGGAAACCCAGGGGTGTTGCATGTTCCCTATGTCTAGTATTCTTGTCAACAGTTGGACAGCAGCAGAGGGACTTGGCGTAGCTGGTTGTCGTCAGCATGCAGGTACTGAAGACGTCCATGTGTATCGATTGTGATCCAGGCCTGATGTATAAAACAAACAATACGAGTGTTTTACAAAAGTGAGTGAGTGAGTTAAAATTTAATCGTCACAGCAGCAATACTTCAGCCATATCGTGACGAGAGTACCGTATAAAGCTTTAAAAAAACCGCATTATATATATAAATGTTCTAAATTCCTGTCGTCAAAGGACAGTAAACAACTACTACATTGCATTTCATTTAAAACTAGTTTGGGAGCATATAAAATAGTAAACTGTTAATTGACAACACAAAAAATGAGCCATAGACCGCCAGCAACTGAAGGTATATCACCATACAGGGGACCATGGGGACTTTCAGTGCCTTTGCTATCTGCATGGACCCTAGCTGGATTTACACCATCCCTTCAGTAGCTGGCGTTTGTAGGATGTTTTACAAAATACAGAGGATACCAGAGTTAAGCTCAATGTGATGACCGTTTGAGTTGTGTCTGTTCGACATGAATTTACACAATATAAGGCTGGCCTTCTAGTTCCAAACCCAGAGTTCACACATTGTACAGGTTTAGCATGAATAATCTTATCGAGTGCTGCACGAAGATCTAGCAGTGTAATAATGCAAATCACCACCATCAACACCATGGGATATGTCATGCCTGATTTTAGGCAGTGCTAAAGTGGCCTCCGTAAGGAGACTAAAAGGGTCATGCTGATCGTGTTCGTCGAGATGTTCAGATGAATCGAATCCTTTAGACGAGTAGGTGCAAATCAAGCTATAGTTTGGCATGAAATGCATGTGGACCCGTTTTTTTTAAATATCTCTTCATCCAATGACCCAATCGATCTCAAACTGTGCAAGTGGATGTTTTGTCAGACAACCTAATCACATTGTAAATCACCGATTTTATGCATTTGTATTAAAGAATCTGTCTATGTAACTGTCAACAAAATAAACAGCAGAACGCAGACTGCTTGCAGAGGGAGGGAACCAATGACCTGTAACAGCGGCAGTGTTGGGTCATGAACCTTGACAAGCAAATGCATAGATACTCCTGGTAGTATTTTTCCCGTTATTCTGCATGATCGGAGCTTTTGAAATAGAGATAGCATCCTTAATATGAACCTTGGCAAAATATCAAAGTTCATGATAAAACCTCAAGAAGCCTATATTCCCACAAGCGACTGAGGATTCTGAGCGTGTTCTGAGGATTTATTGCTGTTATAAATGGCTGATACGGCTTCGCTTTCAAGCAATTTGTGTCGTACGTCATATCTAAAGTATGTATCGGTGACTTCCGCTGTCGTCACCACTTACGTGTTTGAAGGTTTTACTTACTTTACTGATATTAGTGTGAGCTTGTAACATGACAGCAAAAATGTTTCTGTCAGCATGTAAATGAAAGTGCCTTGCCTCTTCTGGAAAGTGGTAACATTAATAAGATAAGACTATGTTAATGAGGATTAACACATAGATACTGATCTCTGACGCATTTTGTATGCATGAACGTTAAACAATGGTTCATTACATGCTGACATGGCCGGCCAGGTTCTAAAGAGTCTTGGATACTGAAGATTGGTCATTCCGCGCCACTGGTCAGATGTGGCCCTGTTTGCTGGATCACTACAGCCTTGTAATTATCATAGTATTTGCATGAGTATGAACGATAATATCCCTTGCCAGTGTCGCGCGCCTTTCTTATAACCAGCCTATTTGCTTTCTTGGATGGTTATTCCCACATCAGATTATGCACATGGGACACTAAGGGTCACCTAACATGAAGAAGCCTTGCTAAGCCTTTGGAACATCTAGAATCTCTGTCACAGCCGAAGAGACAAGTATAAGTATATTCGATTATGTGAAGAGTACTACATACAATGACACCCAGTTAAACTGGACGAGTGTCATTGGAAATGTCTAGACTTAACTAATTTGTTGATATAATCATTCAAAATCTGTTTCATTGTAAAGTGCCCAGTCCATATTATACTTCGTATTGGACCAACTGTTTACCTTTCCATCTCGTTATGAAGGTCGGTAGGGAAGCAAAATGTAAAGAGAGGTCACACGAGTCAAGGCAAAGGCTTGTATTGGCACAATGAAAGGAAGCCCGTTTCAGGATAACCTGTCATAAAATTCCTGTAATATTGCTGATCGCCGTCAAGAAGCTCTCACTTTTGTTGTCTCACATGTTATGTGTCTTACCATCGTCATTTCCCCGTTATTTGAAACGGCAAAGAAATAACTCTTTCATGTCGCTTAAGATGTAAAATGTATGGCTTGATGTCCACAGTCTGTGCCTGTTTCGGTATCGTATATCAGTATTCTCGGCATACTAAGCTTTCTTAAGATGGCATGACATTTAAATCCGTCGTAATCCACGCAGCGTATCAGGAGAGCGAGTTTTTTTATTCCAATCTAAACAGACGTTGCATGCTAATACATCAGCCTCAAATCATGTGTCTCGAGATTAGGCAAAAACAGAATGGATGCTACAAAGAGAAACTTTATGGGACAGAAAAATGTAAATTGCAGGAGACGTATCGCTTTTATTCACAGAGAAGTGTTGAGATGGAATCCTCTCGGGAATATAATGAGATTGAAGTTGTAAAACACCTTTCAACTAAATAGTCCTGGTGCTTTGGAATGGTATATTCAAAAAAGTTTCAAAAGGTTATTGCAGCGAGCGAGCATGTAATTATACCCGACCCTAATCGGAACATAAACTCAGATTAAGTACCTTTAACGTTAAATTAATGATGGGGATTTTAATGAAATCGAACCAGATTGAATACGAGTTCCGTCGATGAAACGCGTCAAACGCTATTACGCTGACAACAAAATCCTTTAAACTCGTAAAAACTTTTTTGATGACCACGACAACTAGTTTTTAAGAGCAGGCAATACTATTTCTTTTTGTGTGTCATTATCTTAACCACTATAAACCTTTAATGAAACTCCACAGCCATTGTGTAAGGATGTAGTTATATACAGAACTGTGGAAACCTGAACTTTTTCCTGATGCTATAAAACATTTTATGATGAACTAAGTAAGATAGCTGGCGACTGTAACCCCAAGTCCTCTGGTATTCCACACATTCAAAAACCAGAACAATGACTGCAAACAAACTAAGAAGGCACGGAAACGGATGAACAGCACTCAACAAATATTTGACCCCCTTCTAATAGCATATAGTGATTTTTAGCCTATAAGTCTAATACAGATTAGGTGAGCATCCTCCAGTTTGTCTCCCTTTTTGTGATGAAAGAATCATCGGTGTCACTTCATTCATTGTATTCGTATTGGCAGACATTATTGATAACAACTTCAATTTCGTTCGACATTTCGATACAGATTCTTCTACCGTTGTCAAGCAGTATATTTTCAACGGTACAAAAATCTGTATCGAAACTTCGCATTCACGAAAAAGTGTTGTTATCCATAAAGTTTGTCAACTCAGAGATGATTTCTATTCCTGTTTGTAGATAAGTTGTACGGTTTCAGCTTTCTTAGATTTTGGTAATGGAAGCTCCACCTGTGGTCTCACCAACTGACAAGAAAGTGGGTGAGTGAGTGAGTTATTATTTAACGTCACATCGGCAATTGCAGCCATATCGTGACGAGAACATATTTGACATTGAAATGGAATATATGTATATTATAAAAACCTGTCGACGAAGGACAGTAAAACAACTATAATATCACAATTAGAATTAAAACTAGCGTGGAAAGTTAAAACTAATAGCACTATTGAGACAATACAACATAAAAACAGGCTATAGATCGCCAACAACAAGAGGTAGATCACCATACTAGGGAACTGACAAGAAAGAGAAGAAAGCAGGCGGAGACGAGACATAGTTTCAAGGTCGATATTCACAGCTCGAATGAAAGCTTAGGTTTAATTCTTATTCTTAAAGGCGAACGACGAAAAGAGGTCTTATTGTACAGAATTTCATAACGAGGATTAAAATCCTGGCTGCATTCATTAGATTATCCTATTGTGGTGTACTGTACAGATTATGTTATACGGCATGCGTTCTTTAAAAAAATATCCAAGGCAAAGTCTAAGACCTTGGTGATACTCAAAAGTACAGCGGGCTTTCGGATTTAGAGTTTTGAGAAGCTGGTGAAGTTTTGTTATCTTTAAAGTGGATTTGAAATAATATTTTCTGATCGTTTGCTACCCAGATAATAGCAGTTTGACAACCATTATCAACTTTGAAAGGAAAATAGGAAACTGGAGCGGGATACGTCAGTGAAGGAGAGGAAGCGGTTGATGCATTTGCTAAGAAATATTTGGCCTCTGTGAATGATCTCGTGAAGATCCGGGTTATAATTTATCTTCAGTAACCCATACTTGTCGTAACAGGCGACTAACGTGATCGGGTGGTCAGGCTCGCTGCCATGCTTGACACATGTCATCGTTGCCCAATCGCGTAGAACGATTCTCATGATGTTGATCACTGGATTGTCTGGTACAGACCGCCGCCTTATAGCTGTAATACTGCTGAGTGTGGCATAAAACTCACTCACTCACTGTGAATGAAATATGTTATTTTATAATGTTTGCCTGTGTGACGCAAGAGGGATATGATGTTGAAGGTGATATGTGATTGCCGGGGCAATTTGCACATTTGTTGTCATCTGACTGCTTCCGTGTTGTTTACTGCAGCGGGAGAAAACTTGGGACTTCCAGCAAGACTTTGCTCTGCGTCCAATTCGTTGACATTTAAAATAACGGAGTGGGTTAGGTATATATACATCAACTCTGATGTTGCAATACCCTCGATTGAACGTTGTAATGATCTTTGTTGTTGCAGAAATAAATAGGGAAGTATTAATTTTGTATTTATGGCATTGTGAACCCCTTTCCACCAGGTGTTGTCAAACAGCTTAAGGAGATACTGTTTTTATCCTCTAAATCTCTTCCATAAGATTTCCGAAAAAAACAAATATTCTCACGTTAAATACGGATTTTAGTTGTATTTGTTTGATGAAAGACAAGAGAACTCTGCTTTAGTCGACGCTATTGTAGATCAATGTGGACCTATGTCTTGATGTTAGTCGCCATGTCTTGATGAACCCATCGTTTGAAACATTTCATCAAAGATAGCGATTTATAATGTACGCAGAAATATTACGTCGTTCGTACAAGATCGTTAACCCCACAATAAACATCTGATACACCAGATGGGAATTTTCCCATTGTTGTACATCATCAGAGATTTTGCAAAGGACATGGCATCCTTAAACGCGTATGTTATTAATATCTTGATTAAAACAGCACCTACAGAAGCCTACACAACACAGTCTGATTCCACAACACAGTCTGATATGACTTCGCTTTAACCAGAAGCTGTGAATTAACAACTCTAACCTGTTAATACTAAGTGAAGCCAGGAATCGTCTGAAAGAACTTATGTAAGTAGCCCAGGTTCTGTGATTCTTGTGATGCATTGATGTTTCCCTGTAAGTCCCCATAGACATCAAGTATGGAATGTTTGCAGAAGGTCTTCAGAGTAAATTGACAGCCAGACCAAGCATACATCCCTACAGAAACCGAGTGATATCGGAGATCATCAGTATCAACAGTGATTCAAAAGTAATCATTGTGATTACTGCAGTAAAGTGCATTGATATAATCAGACCGTGCTAACATTTTGACTGGGGTAGTGGGAACGTCTGTTAACGTCATAATAGTAAACGTCATCACAGAACATAGACGTCACCATGATTCTGTAGATACATTTGTTCGTGAACCCTTACTTTATTTATCATTATTCACTTGACTGAACGACCTCACTCACAGCCAGAACTGCTAAAAAGGAAAGATGATCACTCAAATCCTGTTAAGGTATATATGAGACATTGCCGGCCTGTTTGCTCAGGGAGGAGCCTCCAGTAAAGACCTTACATCAGAGGCAGACAGATTAAAGTCATTGGATGACGCCACAAGGCTATCTAATAAGATGATGATTAAACACGTGAAAACTATATCAAAGAAACTCAGTGGTCGTGCAGAGGAAGCTGATCAGAACCTTCGCCTTCATTTACGAACACATATGTAGAATGTCCCTACCAGAAACTCCCCGTGGTTATGGAAACTAATTTTCTTCACAGACTAATCTGTGTCTGTGCGGCCCTCTGTGGTAAACCCAATTTAAACAAAAAAGTGAATCCGATTGTGGTCCTATTATACTTAAGTCTGTTAATTTGTATATGTTCTGATTCCCAATGTTCCAGTCTTGCCCACTAGCTGACTATTTAATACAACGAATTCTGAGAATCAGTGCGTTGCTAAAACACTGAACAGTGTTCTTTTACGAGTCCTATCATTTCACTTTGGTTTGGATTCACAAGACGGTATTTGAAGGTACATTCATATGTTCTGAATCGGGGTTGGACTCATAAGAGAACATTATTCTTGAAGCAAATGAAGCATCCCGAGCTTGTCTGGCAAGTTTTTACAGAACAGAAATCCTGATAAAATATTTGGATCAAAATAATTAGGTTTTTGTTGGCAAGTTTCGTAGCTATCTAATCGTATCTCACTTAATGTCAATTGCATCCCAGATACATTTCCTTCAAGCCTATCATTGAACTCGGTATTTAATGTCCTCCATTGAAGTTCACCGAAGTTCAAAGAAAGTATGATTTGTACCAAATCCCAAAGCTAAGACGTCATATATCTAGGATCACATTTCCCCTTTGAGACCTTCGCTGGACAATGTTTCTCTCCTTTGGATCTGCGGACGTTTTCACTTTTCGAAATTTGATAAGAAAATAATATGTATATCTACAGTAGAATCCGCTCGTAATCGCGAGGATCTGAATAAAACACAATGTTGGTGCAACACACGCTGAGACACCTTAGCGTGTCAAGTCAGCATCTAAGTGGAATCAAATCAGGCGCCCGGCTGCGTGTATACAAACCCGAACACTTAATTTTTTACCAACTGATTTATCCCAAGGACGCAATCGCACTGAATAGCCTCTGGGAAATGTAGGATAAAAAGAATCCGACGAGAACACAGATTACTGTTGTTAGTAACCACAGTCAGATGCGCTGTCATCATGTGTCAATGATACTCTTCATAGTATTACGATCAATGCCATTTATAATAATTTGCTACAGTTTGTATAAACCATAGTCTTTGAGCAATGGGGACAATGGGTTGGTGTCCTGGACAATGCACTGGAGTGAGTGAGTTAATATTTAACGTCGCATCGGCAATATCTGAGCCATATCGTAACGAAAACAATACAAAAATGAACAATGCACTGGAAGACCTGAAATAACGATGTCTCTTTGGACTTGGCCATCGTTTGGTTTTGTGCTTCACTAATATATTTCTTTATCATACATGTCACATACCTAAATACATTAATCCCAAAATTCACCATGCCTTGATATCACTGAAACAATGACCACACAGACATCAGTTCAACAGATGTAACAGGAGTGAGTGAGTGAGTTAATATTTAACGTCACATCGGCAATATCTCAGCCATATCGTGACGAAAACAATTTATACTGTAAAATGTGAAAAGATATGGAGAATTAAAAGCTGTCGACGATGGACATTGAAAATACTAGAGAATCACAGATGTGAATATAAAACTAGCGAGCAAAGTTAAAACATTCCAATTAAAGAAGACAACACAGTATAAAACACGGGCTATAGATCGCCAACAACTGAAGGTAGGATGTAACAGGATCTAATCGTAGGGTCCATCACAGCTCTGATCATCTGCCATCAACATTCTAACACGTATGATTTAATAAAAACAGAATTACATTATGACAGTGTGAGTACTGATAGGCAATCGCTTTAAATGTATCCATGATATGTTTGTCAACTAAAATTGTATTACAAAAACCCTGATCAATGTGTCAACTGAAAGCATTCTACCAGCACATTTGTTTAAACATAAACCCTGTATAATTTCACCTTCATCCTCGATTTTACGAAAGCAATTGTATCCAAAACATTTATATGCAGCTCACTGGTTCCTCATAGTTGATATACAATTCTCTAAAGGGATGTCAAGATCAGATCATGTCTTCTCAAGGAACATGCTATTGAATTGTTTTGGTCAGAAAGGTACTTGTGTGTGTCTCCCCCAGATTTGAAGATGGACCATTTTCCAGATATCATCTTGTGGTACATGTCAGCGGACGATTGTGTGTGAGCTCAATGGCTCAGTAACTGTCCCACAGTCGATCAAAACTGACCATCGACCGCCCTTTCAGCCTCAACCGAGCAACAACAAGTTCGTAAAATTGTGTTTCGTGAGGTTTGTGCCTGACCTTTGTCATGTTCCACTCCTACAACTCAGAAATCGAGCGTTATTGGCTGTTTCGTTTGCGAAATAATGTTATCAACCAAAAGACCGGTCACAAAATTACCTGTGGCAAATTTCCCCCTTCATTCAGGCCATTTGCCACCTTTAGTGGAATTTTCAAAATCAATGTTAATCTGTAGAGAACCGGAACTTATCGATTAGTGCCCAGTAGTTGCAGATGACAACGTCTACCAAGGAGTAATGCTGCTTAAGGAAACTTGTAGTGTACAGGCGCCATTCTCAAACTCTCAGACCTGAAGGGCGAATGTCAACATTTGTAGATATTGAATAAAGATCCGATGGGTTGGAAACTAATGAATGTCAAGCATAATGCATATT